CAGCGGCCTGCAGAACTGGCGACCCCTGCTGGCCACCGGGCCGCCTCGCCCCTCACCCCACCCTGTCCCTGCGACCCCCCCCTCCCACCAGGGCTTGACTTGGGGCCCTGGGGGGGACCCCGCGTTCCACTGTTCAGCTCAGCCCGGTCGTGCTGGGGGGTTGTCACCCTCCACCCGCCCCCCCACGTAGCCGGGAAGGGGGCGGGGGCCGGGGTGTACAATGGACACCCCCATCTGGTCCTCGTGCCTGCCTGGTGTCTCCACTCCAACCCGTGGGTGCTGGTGTCTAGATACCGCCCCTCTCCTGGCGCACAGGGACCCCGGGCCCTCTCCCTGCGGTAGCCAGGCCCTTCCTCTGCGGACTCAGCCTCCCCTAGCGGGGCTGCTGGGTGGCAGGTGGACAGAGGAGATGGCTGCCTGGGCCCCACAGTAACACTGGAGGGGACATGATTGCTTATCACCCTAAAGGCGACACCACAGTCAGTGCCTGATGTGTGGTGGTGGGGGGTGGGGGACTCTGTGACCCAACACCAAAGGAAATGAGCTGCCAGCCCAGCACTGCACTGGCCTCCTCTGGCCTTGGGCAAAGCATGACTTTTCAAAAATTGCTTCTCCTGTTATTTTTATTTTTATTTTTTCACACAGTTCCCTTTCTAGACGGTCTGTCCTCAGGAAGGAGCCATGGACAGAGATTTGTGGGGACAAGGACAACTGGAGAGGGACCTCTGCCCCGTGCTCCTGAGTGTAGAGTTACAGGGGTGTAAGCCCACTGTGTGCTGGCCCACCACTCTTCTTAGGCCCAGCTCCTCAGGGACACCTGATTTTTGCACCATGCCCACCCCTTGATAGTACCCCTTCTCAGCGGGGAGGGGGGCTCACCCCAGGATTAATATTCCCAAGCCAAATTGTGCTGCAGGACATTCCCCTGCCCAGAAACTTCCGTTCTGCCCTCTGGCCCCAAATTTAGTCCCAGTGGCTTAGCTCAAAGCCCCCTGCCCTGCCCTCCCCCACTGTTGCAGTGGACAAGGTGTGCGTACAGGAGGCTCCACCGCTGCCTTCCTGCCCAGGACTGTGATGCAGGGCTTCCCCTTGCATAGGGGCTTGACCAGCAGCTCAGGGGCAGATCTGCTATGGGACCCACTGACAGAACAGCCAGAGACCCTAGTGGTCTCAGTCTTTGAGTAAACTGAGTCCCACAGAAGGGGATGGAGTTCCCAGGGCTCCTCTGTACCTGCCTCCTGACCCTTTCCTTTGGGGGTGAGGGCCCTGCAAGACTCGGCAAAGTTGGGGGAGGGAGCTGCCCCTTTAGGAAGTACCAGTAGGGCCTTGGGTAGAGCTCACCAGATGAATATCCCCCCTACAACAGGGCAGGTGCCCCTCCCTACTGCACAGACCTGACCCCATCCCTCCGCCTTGTAGTCACAGAACATTAACTCTGGGCAGGGGTTTCTTGTGTTCCTTACCAGCTTTCCTGGTCCCCACCCCACAGCCTGAAGAGGCTGGAGTAGTCTCCAAAGGCATGTTGATGTTGGGGCTTAGGGGGAGAGGGGCAGCAGTGTTCCAGTATGCCCCAGATGTGGGCCCAGTGGGGTCACTGCTTGCGCAGCTGGGAGGGATTTATACACAGACTGCAGTTACAAGGCCCCTTGCTGGTCAGGATGTACACCCCATTTTGACCCCGCCTGTGTGCATCTGCTGGTTGCAGACATCTGTACCTCATGGAATCCATAGTGCCCTGGCAACTAGCTCTGAATTGGAGAAAGAACCTGGTTCCAGAAGAGCCACAAGGGGGTGGTTTGGCACTACCACAGCACCGTTTTCTTTTTACTTTATGTGATGGGTATTTTGCCGGCACATATGTGTCATGCAATGCTTGCAGAGGCCAGGTGAGGGTGTCAGATCCTCTGGAACTGGAGTTAGGGATGGTTGTTAGTCTCCATGTGGGTGCTGGGAAGCGAACCAGGGTCCTCTGCAAGAGTAGCCAGTGCTTTTAATTTCTGAGCCATATGGGGAACCCCATAGCACCCATTTTTCAAGACAGTGGAGGACACGGAAGGGCCCAAATCTAGCCAGCAGAGGGAGGGGGACTGGCTTAATCTGGACCCCACCCAGAACCCCAACCGCCCCCTAGGGTCTGCCCCAGAGCCCAACAGGATCCAGGTTTCTCAGCCCCAGGAGTCCTGGTTGGCAGGCCCAGCTCTCTGCATCTGGCAGAGATGTGCCAGATACAGGGGTGAACTGGCATTGCCTGTGAGGGTTGTCTCCCATAGGGAAACCCCAGCAGGCAACCAGGGGTACAGATTCCACTGGAGGCCTGGGCCAGGGGTTTCCACAGGGAACTGACCAGAATCCTGCTTTGTACCTCAGGGCGCCCAGAGAAGAAGGACAGCCCACTCAGAGATACAGGCCATGTGGGGTTTCGGGGAGTTGCTTGTGGCCTGGTTTCTAGTGTTGACAGCGGGTGGCACCCAGCACGTCTACAGGCCCAGGTGAGCTAGGGGTGCTGGGTCTCAGCCAGAGGCTCTTAAACCTTGCCCAAGGCAGCCCCTAGTACTTGGAGGGAATTCCCTATCACTAGCTGAGGATCCTGCTTACAGAAACATTGGGAAGCCCCTACCCCATGTTCTTACATCTCTGGGCTGGGAGAGTCTTGGCGCCGAACCCCCTGCTGACCCTGCCGCCCATAGCCGCAGGGTATGTGCCGTGGGGGTTGCCAAGGGCCCTGTGTCGGAGTCCTTTGTTCAGCGTGTGTACCAGCCCTTCCTCACTACCTGCGATGGGCACCGAGCCTGTAGTACCTACCGGTGAGTGCCCACTGCCCATGCCAGGACCCCCACCCACTGTGCATACCTTGCTAGGAAGGAGCAATCCATGGGGTTCAGGAGCCTGTCTTATTCTGAGCTGGGGAGCTGATGTCAGAGCAGTGAGGTGTCCCTCATATCAGGGCGTCTCAACCTCTGTGGCTGGTACGCAAGGATGCTGTGTAATCACCTCTAACACCATCTTTTGATAATGTCTGTACCCCTCTACTGTCGGAGTACTCACTCCTCCCTCCCCAGCATCCCTGGCTGGAAGTTCTTATCCACAGAAATGATGCCCACCTCCTTAAAACCCTGTCATGCTGGTCCTACCCTGGAGCTCTCGTAGACACCCCCTTCCCTTGCAGGCCCAAGTGGGCCCCTGTGGAGATCTGAAGTCCAGTCAAGCTGACAGGACAGCCTGAGGGGCATGTGGCGCCAGCCAGAACCAGAAGGCAGGTCCTTGGAGAGTTCAGCCCCCTCCAGCCCAGAGCCGTCTGGGAAAGGCCCAGGTGTATGAGCCCCTCCTTGGTTCAGAACTTCAGAGGCTCCCAGACCAAAGTTAGAAGAGCACTGGTGTAAGAAACCAGCTTTAGCTTTAGCACCAGGGGCCCAGAGCCTGGGGAAGGAAAGAAAGCTCTGGCGGCTCTCCGAGCCACCTCTGCAGAAAGGGGCTTGGGCCAATGTGCCCAACAGGAAAGTTGGTGGATTCAGTGGTGTACACAGGCCTGGGTTCCAGGCAAGCTGGGGCTACAGGGGGACTTCTGCGACCCTGGCATAATGATATCCTGGTATCCAGATAGATGGGCCTGGGAGGGTGCATCCTGTCTGAAGGCCTGGCCTGGGCCACCCCATGTTGGCCCCTCTGAGCCACCCTAATTCCCTACAGAACCATCTACCGGACAGCCTATCGCCGCAGCCCTGGGCCAGCTCCTGCCAGGCCTCGCTATGTCTGCTGCCCTGGCTGGAAGAGGACTAGTGGGCTGCCTGGGGCATGTGGAGCAGGTGAGGGCAGTGGGTGCTGTGCCCGAGGTGAGAGACCTACTCCCTACTGCCCTGCTTTCTCTCTCTGAGCATTGCATCCTTCCTCCACTAATGCCACAGGGTCCTAGGAACCCTTCTGAGTTGTTGACAGGCCTCCCCCCCCCCACACACAGCAATATGCCAGCCCCCATGTGGGAATGGAGGGAGTTGCATCGAGCCAGGCCGCTGCCACTGCCCTGTAGGATGGCAGGGAGATACTTGTCAGACAGGTAAGGCCAGTACCACACTTCCCAAGGGAGGAGAGGGTCTTTGCCAAAGCGGGTTCCCACTGGTAGTGGGTCTTGACAGGGAGCTGGCTGGGAACCTGCCTACACCCTCATTTCCTACAGATGTGGATGAGTGCGGAACTGGACAGGCCAGCTGTCCCCAGCACTGTGTCAACACTGTGGGCAGTTTCTGGTGCCAGTGTTGGGAGGGGTACAGTCCATCTGCAGATAGGACACTCTGTCTGCCCAATATGGGCCCCTCCAGGATAGCCCCAAACCCTACAACAGGTAAACTTGCTTTTCCACCTGGTGCAACTGACCTGGGGTGGTCTTCAGGTTGTGGGGACTGCTTTTTGGTTGAGCTGGGCCAGGGGGACATGGAAGGCAGCCAGTGTTGGGTAGAGATCAGCATCATGTCCTAAGGGCTGAGCCCAGGCATCCTGGGCTGAAGGGAGGTTCCTCGTCTGGGTGGAAAGTGGTAGGGGCTCCTTCCCCCGAAGAGGTTTCTGGAAGTGTGGGGAGTCGACCTAGAAGCTTCATCTCAGCCGATTGGCAGCCTGGAGAGACACCGTGTCTTCGCTGGTGACAGCACATTATTACTTTTGGTACGCGCTGTGACACTTCAAACTCGTACCGTGAGTAATAATGCGTTGTCAGCAGCCCCACGTCAGGAGTGCATCAGACCTGGGTGAGGATCACCGTCAGTGTGCAGGACCTAGCTGGGACAGTCCAGAGCCACAGTCTTTGGCAGGGTCTGTCCTAATGGACAGCAGGTCACCAGAGGCTTGTGTCTCCAGGCTCTGCTCCCATAGCTGGGGCAGTGGTCAAAGGCCTTCCTAGGGATAAGAGACCAGCCCAGGGTAGGGCAGGAAGCTGCTCTCCCTTGACTAGCATCTGGATCTGCCCCCAGGAGTGGACAGCATGGTGAGGGAGGACATGCGCAGGCTGCAGGCCCGGGTTGATGTGCTGGAGCAGGTGAGGAATGGGTAGGAGGTCTGGGTGGGTTCCATAGGACCCAGGAAAGGCCCACAGACCGTGTAGTCCCTGGGGAACTGTTTCCAATCTGTGGGATGACGGGGCTCTTGTGGAGGCGGCCTGTAGGGATGCTGACTTTCCTATGCCAGGCAGCACATTTTTTGAGATTCCCCCAGGCTGGGAGGAGCCAAACTAGACCATGGGGGGAACCAAAACCCAGAGCCCACCCAACCTGCCATACCAGGATGAGGTATTTGCAAGGTCTTCTCACCAAGCCAGAGGCCCGTGACCCTTCCTACATTCTCTGTCAGGACCAACCCCAGGACCTTGGGACCAGGCTGTGGGGACATCCCGCTGTCTACCTGTGCCTGCCAAGCCTTGGGTGCCTGCTGCTTAACAGCTCCCTCTAGTGGCAAGCAGGACCTGCTGCCAGAGCTAGGAAGCGGCCTTACATCATCGTTACTGGTCCTCACATAGGCCCGAGGTCATACGCACCTCCCCCTCCCCAAACAGAAACTCCAGTTGGTGCTGGCCCCGCTGCACAGCCTGGCCTCTCAGGCTTCAGAACATGGGCTGCAGGACCCCAGCAGCCTGCTGGCCCACTCCTTCCAGCAGCTGGACCGCATCGACTCTCTGAGTGAGCAGGTTTCCTTCCTGGAGGAGCAACTGGGGTCCTGTGAGTGCCACACACCCACTTCCTCCCCAGAGATCCTAGGGAGTTCATGGGGGTGGGCACTAGGCTTGGGTGAATGGAGCTACCACTGATGAGGGGCAGATTTGCCAATTGACCTCCTGTTTCTTTCACACCTAGGCTCTTGCAAGAAGGAACTGTGATGCTCATGTCACCACCTAGGTGGGGCTCAACCGTCACCTCTACATTCCCTCCCAGCTGGAGTTTAGGAGCTGCTCCTGGGGTGCTGAACAGAATGTTTGTCTTCCTTTTGTCAGGAGGTTCCTAGGACTTGGACATGGGGGGAGGGTCTCGTTTGAATCCCCCCATAGGGCTTTCCAGGGAAGGTACGAAGGTTCACTGCCCACAGCCAGGGCAGTGAGCAGCCTGTCCAGAGGCGGGGTTGGGGCCTGCCCCCATTTTTGTCAGAATAAAACTGGGACTTGAGCTGTTGTGTCAACAGGTGGACTAAGGAGCTGGAAGGAGCCCCCCCCCCTCAGTACTGGGCACTGTCTGCACCCCTGCCCTGGGCCAACTGGTGGGCTCCAGGCACAGCAAAACACGTGGGTGCCCCATCTGTAACAGAAGCAGGCAGATCTGAGGTCCCAGTTTCCCCTAGGTGACATGCTGGTTCCAAACCTAGCCAGGTCTAGCCTTTGCCCTCATGTCACTGGGGCCGGTCTGCCCACTTTTCAGTTTGGCAGACCCTCCCCCCCAACACAGAGAAAAGCATTGTTGGGTGATCACAGCCCACTCCCTGCAGGGAGTTGGGGGTGCTTATGCAAAGGGCCCTGGAGAAAGGACACATGGGGGGGGCCCCCATACCATCCTCACCACCCTGTGTCCTTGGATGGAGACCTGGGGCCGCCCTTGCTCACCCTCTGAAAGAGACCCCTGGTCTCCAGGAACCTGAGAGTTCATTTATAAAAAAGAACCAAGCATAGCAGTGATTTGTGACGGAGACTGTCCTACTGGACAGTGGGGGTGACAGGCTCTGCCCTCCGGTGCTGAGTGGCCCATGTTCTTTGAGAGACCTGTCCTCAAGTTCCTCCTCTTCCCGAAGGCCTGATGCAGGCCATGGCCTGGTTCCTGGATCTTCATCTTCCACCCTGGAGTGGGCCTTGGGCATCCCACCTGGGTGCCTCCTGGTTTGTGGCTCAGCCCTCCAGCTCGGATGGCCACACCCAGATTCTGGAGGCACAGGCATGATGGTCAGGAAGTCACCTGGGGTCCTGGGTCTCAGGCCCCTGCTGAAAGGGACTTCCTGTTTTGCAGGCCCTAAATGAGCTAGGCCAGCAGGGCAGCAGGGTAACGTGATGTTTGTTGGGTGGGAGGGCGTGTCTGGCTGTCCATCCTGTGGATTCCCACCTGCCCTCCCCGAGCTCCCCTGCCCCGCGTGGCGTGAGTTACTGGGCCGGCAGTACCGCGGGCTCCTCATTGGCAGAGTTCTGCTGGGGTGTCTTGGATATTTGGAGAAAGGTGTTTCTCATGGTTTGGTAGCAGGTGTCCACAAGCTTGGTGATGTCCGCATTGGTAAGGCCACTGGTAGGGACGGCATCCAGCACTTCCACTTTGATTGTTCCTGGAGAGGGAGTACTGGATGTCAGGGACCTAGGGGCCCTACTGTTGCTTGCCACCCTAGTCTCTCCTCACCAGAGCCTGACGGAGCTCTTCCTCGGCTCCTCAGCAGGGCAGGCTTGCTTGTAATTGAGACAACATGGACACATGTGCCTAGTGGGCTTCCACAACTCCACCCTTCCCCTTAGTCCATGACTCAGCCCTTCCTAAGCAGCCTGTCCATACTCGCCCCTTCTGTCCTCCATGGTGGTGGCCACTGGAGACAGAGCCTGGCTCTTCCTAATGCCCTTCAACCTCTAGTGGCCACATTTAGGGTCAGGGCACCTGCCTGGAAGCCAGTGTCCGGGGTACAAGGGGCAGAGAGGTGGCCCATGTGGGCTGCTGCATGTGGAGGGGCCTGCAGTTTAGAGACCCCACCTCTCACCAGCAGGGGTCACTGTAGGTTCCTGTCTGTTGCACAGGCTGGACCACACTGTCCCCTCAGGCATTTCAGTATGCTTAGAGCCAGTTTCTCAGTTTGAAAAACAGGCCACAGAGAAGAGTGATGAAATGAAGCAGTGCTGGGCCAGATCCATCCACGCATTCATCCTTCACTGCCCAGAAGTAGGAATTCTGCTGCTAGGGACCCAGGACTCTTACTGCTGGGTTAGACCCCTGAAGGCTAAGGTTATAGCTCAGTTGGTATAAAGCTCTGGGTTCTATCCCCAGCTCCCTTAAATTGGGCATGGTGCCAGCACTGAGTATGTGCAGGCAGGAAGATCAGGAGTTCAAAGGTTATCTTCTGTCATATAAGGAGTTGGAGGCCAGCCTAGGCTACACGAGACCATGTCTCAGAAACCTGGCGAGGTCCTGAGATCCTTCGTGTGACTCTGCCCAGGGCTCACCTGAGGTGAAGAGCTTTGTCTTGACGTTGTAGAAAGAGGAGAAGGAGGAGTACACCACAGGGATGATGGGCACCTGTGGACAGGGACACACGTTGAAGGGTGCCCTGACTTCCTCTGGGTGCCACTGTGGCTGACCCTTCTGTCCAGGACACCATCATGTTCTGGGTGGCCTAGGGTTTCATAGACTCATCCAGTCCCCCATACCACCTCCAGGAAGCCTTCCTGGGCTTGTTTGTCCCCCACACTGGGTCATAAAATAGCCCAGAAGTGGGAGGGCAGGGCTCCATTCAGCTTAGCTGAAGGATGTTATGTTGCCCCTTCCCTGCCTTTCCATCCCATCCCTCTGTTCCCCATTCCCAGGAAACTGGGAGGCTCGGGTGTTGGATCCTGGGTGTTCCTGGAAGGGCCCAGGGTCAACTCCCACATTGACAAGTGAGAGGAAGGTAATGATTAACCCCAGGTGCTGGGGCAGGCAGATGTGCTTGTAGCCAGGCCCTGGGGGAGGGGCAGGGAATGACAGATCTGGAGTCTGTTGTCCCCACCCCTACCACAGCTCGGAGTCCTCCTAGGACCTGCTTGCTAATACAGCCCTGCCCAAGGCAAGGGGGCCTGAGATTTATATTTATTTTACTTGTATGCATGTACTGTCTGCATGTGTGTTGTAGGTACACCCGTGTCGTACGATGCCCGTGGAGGTCAGAAGAGGGTGTCATTTCCTCTGGAACTGGAGTTACATACTATTGTTAGCTGCCATGTGGGTGCTGGGAATTGAACCCAGGTCCTCTGCAAAAGCAGCCAGTGCTCTTAACCACTGAGCTCGCTCTCCAGCCCTGCCTGTGATTTTAACTCCTGGTCCAGTGGGAGTGCCTGCCACCCCATGGCTGAAGGGGGCTGGTCTCTGGGCAGATCTGGGGTCACAGTAGTTTCCTGTCCCAGCTAGGACTCCCCAATCCCTTGGGGGTTGGTGGGCGTCTCAGGAAGTGGGTGCACACAGGCTTGTATGGGGCTGGGCACCAGGGGGCTCTGAAGGCCTCCTACTACAGGGGCAGACTGGGGGCTGGGGGCGGGGGAGGGAGGACTGGGGCTTGCCAGACAGGAAGAAGCCCCTTCTGCCCCTCAGTGGTAGTTTTCCCACACAAGTCTCTCTACCAGGGAACCCCTGTTCCACAGTAGATATGCCCTTAGAGTCTCAGGGACTCCTGGGCACACCACCTTCCCCCAGCACAGGCTGAGGAAAGGGAAGTCCAAGGTGTAGGACAGAGCTCACGTGAGCTGCCCATGACTGGGTCTGCCAGCCTGTCTGTGTCTGCTCCCTTAGTCTTACCAAGACCAAGTAGAGCCCTGGAGCGTGGGGAAATGCCGGGCACAGTCTGCTCTACGGGTTTCATACTGCTTGCACACTGCCCAGGTTTTCACTGGCCCTTGCACCTCCACCTTTCACAAAACCCTGAGTGAAGGACACTCCCTGTCTAGCCAGCTAGGGCATATGGTGGCTGGTGTTCAAGTGCTCAGAGCTGCCAGCCCATCCGGTCACTGACCTGCCTGAGTGCCTCTCCCAGCTGAGTGGAGGACATCCCTGGGGGCCAGCAATCCCTGGTCTGGTTGGGACATCACCTCCAACCTTAAGTCACCTTGGCCTATGTCCCAGCCCCTGCCCACCCCAGGAGGGTGCAAACTGGCGTACCTGGGCCTGGACAGCCAAGTAAAAGGCACCTTTTTTGAAGGGCAACAGGTCCCCATTGTCATTACGTGTGCCCTCAGGATAGATCCACACCTTGAGCTGTGGGAGAACAGAAAAGACTACTGCCTGGGCTGCCCCCCACTCCACGTGGCCATCCCAGGAAGCTGCACCACCCTCCTGAGCCCCATTTTGCAGTGGGCTATACTGCTGTGTGGTGCCTACACTCACGTTGTCCTTGACCATGAGCTCGCCCAAGTCCGCCATTAAGGTCATGGCGGTTTTGGCACGCTGGCGGTTGATGAAGTAGACGCCACCGAGGTACATGATGAGGCCAACCGGCCCTGTGAACAGCAGCTCGCGCTTGGCAATCTGCACACAGCGCTCGGGGAGGATCTCCATGAGGCCTACACAGAAGGGCCAGGGAGAGAGGAACAGTGAAACGTGGCCAGAAGGAAGAGGGGGGAGGCAGAGGTGGAGGGAGGCAAAGATGCAGGGAGAGGTGGAAAAACATGGAAAGACCAAGGCAGAGGGGAGACAGAGAGACAGAGGGAGACAGAGAGAAACAAGAGAGATGGCAAAACGGGAAGAGAGGAGGAGAGACAGAGACGAAGGGAGAGACAGAGACGGGAGAGGAAGAGAGAGAGAACAAGAACAGTCTCAGAGTCCAGCTTGGCCCTCCCTGGGGGATGAGGGGCTGGTCGCCCACTTGGCAAGTCCCCTGTCTCTAGCTTGGCCTCCTCTCTTGGGGAGAAGTTGAAGCCCAAGGTACAGTCTTTGCCCAACCTGAGGGAGGCCCATGGCTGGAGGGACGCTCATAGGCCTACACAGGTGGTCTATATTGGTCCGAGTACTAGGGCCACCTGGAACCCAGGATGAACCCCTGCTGCTACCCTATTGGAGACCAAGCTTTGGCAGCAACCTACCCATCATGTCCAGGATGCTCTGGTGATTGGAGATGATGACACAGGGGCCGTCCATCTCCAGTTTCTGCTGGCCTCTGACCTCAAAGTGAAGGCCATACACATACTTGAAGGACCGCACAAACCAGCTGATGATGCTAAGGGCAGAGGCACCAGTGAGTGGAGGAACCACTATAGCCAATGGCTCAGTCTGAAAGGTGGGAGGGGCTGTGCTGGGGTAAGTGGGCAGGGGGCAGAGCAGGCAGCAGGGGTCTCAGCGTAGACAGAGCCCAAGGGGCTGGCTCTCCCTGCCCCACCAAGGGCACCTTAAGTAGCCTATATCCAGCCCCAATCATTCCGAGAGACTTGTCACAGGCACTGACTACAGGGAGGGGGTGGCCTACCCAGGACAGTACATCTGCTCATTAAAGGGGTTAGCCTGTGGTGACAAAACAGGGAGGGGAGATGCCACCACAGTGATCCCCACACACTCTACATGCACATTAGCATACCCCATCACAGGACCCCAGCTCCTGAGGGAAAGGGTCCCTCATAGGTCAGCCTAGCTATTGCTGGGTCAAGAACAGTCCTGGGGGACTGGAAAGCTGGCTCAGAGGTTAACAGCAATAGCTGCTCTTGCAGAAGACCCAGGTTCAGTTCCCAGTACCCACATGGGAGCTAACAACCATCTGTAATTCCAAGTTCCAGGGGATCTGACACCCTCTTCTGGCCTCCTCAGGTACTGCATCCATGTGGTACACTTACATGTAGCTGAACTCTCATACATGTAAAATAAATATGCGTCTTTAATCCTAGCACTCAGGAGGCAGAGACATGGATTACCTGTGAGATCGAGGTTAGCCTGGTCTACATAGCAAGTTCCAGGCCAGCTGGGGCTACAACTGTCTCAAAAAAACAACAACAAAAAAGAGAACAGTCCTGAAGGAAGGGGTCTCTCACAGTACAACAGATTCAAGGCTGGTTCTTTATACCACCTTAACTTTTTTTATTTTATTTTTTTGTCTTTTTAAGACAGGGTCTCCCTGTAGCCCCAGCTGTCCTGGAACTCACTATGTAGACCAGGCTGGCCTTGAACTCACAGAGATCCACCTGCCTCTGAGTGCTGGGATTAAAGGCATGTGCCACCACTCCCGGTTCATCTTAACTTTTTAAAAAAATTATGGTTAAAATACACGAACCAGGGACTGGAGAGATGTCTCAGGGGTCAAGAGAACTGTTTGCTCTTGCAGAGGACCCAGGTTTGAATTCCAGCACCCACATGGCAGCTAACAACCATCCGTAACTCCAGTTCTAGGGAATCCAATGCTCTCTTTTGACCTCCATGGGCACTTCATGACACAGGTGCACTTACATACATGCAGGCAATGCACTCATACACATAAAATAAAAATAATAAACACATATTTAAAAAAATACACGAACCATAGCGGGGCGTAGTTGCGCACGCCTTTAATCCCAGCACTTGGGAGGCAGAGGCAGGTGGATCTCTGTGAGTTCAAGGCCAGCCTGGTCTACATAGTGAGTTCTAGGACAGCTGGGGCTACAGGGAGACCCTGTCTTAAAAAGACAAAAAAATGACCTCAAAAAGACCAAAAAAAAAAAACCAAAAAACTAAAAACCAAAAAACACCAAACAAAAAAACCCCACGAACCATAAAATTTTCCTTAGCTATACCTTTATGTACACAGCTCAGGGTATTAAATACATCCATGTCAGGCAGCCATCACCTCCTGCCCACAGAACTTTCTCTTTCCAAACTGACACTGTCCCCATGACCTCTGACCATATCTGTCCCAGGCCCTGGAAAGTCCAGCTGTACTGTAGTCCCAGAGCTCATGACTCTAGGGACCTCACACAAGTAAACGCCTGCTGTTCTCTTCACCGGCTGCACCCGTCACAGCACCATAGGTGGGAAGGGCAACTCTCACTGATAGGGAAACTGAGTCTCAGGCAGGCACTGTGCAAATCTTGACAATGAGACCAGCCATGTTCTCCCAGGCCTGGGAGCTCGGGGTCCTTTCCTCAGCTCTGCTAGCCTCAGGCAGCTCCAGACCTGCCTGTTCATCCCCATCCACTGCTGAGGACCCTAAGTCACAGTTTCTGGGATCCCTGTGAGGCTCCAAGGGGACAGGGCAGGCAACTGAGGGAAGAAAAGGGAGGTGCTGGAACAGGAGGAGAGGCTACCAATCTCACCAGCCATCAAAGGAGCAGACAGGAGCAGGAACGGGCCTGGTCCTTCGACCTGACACCCACTGGAAAAAATGACTAACAGGGCCTGGGACACAGGCAACTGCTCCCTCCCTGGGGTGAAGCCAGATGTGTCTAGAGGGCAGGTTGGTGCCCTGCCCTGACCTAGCCTGTGTTCCCCAGGAATCTTTCCTAAGGCAGCACCATGAAGGTGTGGACATAATCAAGGTGATCTGAATCAGGTAATCTGGAAACTACCTGCGGGTGCCAGGAGGGAATGCAACAGTAATCTGAACTGATTTACTGAAATAGACATTCAGGATTTACTGGAGGGTGTGTGTGCTGGGGGTGGAACTCAGGGCCTCTGGCAGATTAGATAAGCAGGTTAAGGCTGAGCCGCACCCCCAGCCTGACTTATGCAGGCTGAGCATCCCTAACCTACATCTGAATTGCCCCAAAGTCCTAAACTTTCAGGACATGGTATCACAAATGGAAAGTTCCATACCTGACCTCGGGTGAGGGACCATAGTCAAAGGCAGACACATACTAAACGTATTCTAGGAAGTATCTCTGGGTTATGTGTACAGGCACATGTGACACATCAAAGAATGGTTCAGCAGTTGCTGTTCTTGCACAGGACCAGGGTTCGGTTCCCAGCACCCATAACCAGGCTCACAACAGCCTGTCCTTCAGGTCCAGGGGATCTGATGCCTTCTGGTCTCCATGTGGATCCTCATGCACACGGTGCACATAAATCCACACAAGCACACATACATACACATAAATAAATCTTTTTTAAAAAACGGGGGTGGTGGTGCCGGGTGTGGTGGTGCATGGCTTTCAGTCCCAGCACTGGGAGGCAGAGGCAGGCAGATCTCTGTGAGTTTGAGGCCAGCCTGGTCTACATAGTTCTGAGTCAGTGGGGGCTACAGGGAGACCCTGTCTCAAAAAGAACCCCCCCAGAAAAGTATAAATCTTCCCAAACCTCAAATCAAAATCCAAAACAACTCCAGTCCCACGCATTTGTTTGAGATAGGGTCTCATGTAGCCCAGGCTCACTATGTAAGCAAGGATGATCCTAAACTTCCAGACCGTCCTGCCTCTACATCCCCAGTGCTAATATTACAGGTGTGTAATCACCACGTTTGGCTTTCTGCAGTGGTGCTGGGGATCAAACCCAGGGCTTCGTGCACACTAGGCAAAGTACTTTACCACCTGATCTATCTCTCCAGTCCAGCACTTTGGATAAGGAACATTCAATAGGTAGTGGTCACTACAAACCCATAGTTTCATGTCTCACCGCAAAGGGAAGAAACAGGGCTGCCAACCCCCAGACAGGGACTACTTGGACAGCTCCTGAGCTCATGCTCTGGGTCAGACAGCTTGTGATCCAGAAACAGATGGTGCCCTCTGGTAGTGGCATGTGTCTGTCCCATCCTCTTCCCTCCCCACCTCTCTTCTCTCTCCCTCCTTTTTGTTTTCCCTCTGTCTCTCTCTCCAGTGCAGGGTGGTGTTGGGTAGAGTTGGAACTCAGGGCCTCATGCACGCTAGGTAAGCGCTCTACCATGAGCTACATCCCCAAATCCTTTTTAAAAAACATTATGGTCGGGGCTGGAGAGGTGGCTCAGCGGTTAAGAACACTAGCTGTTTTTGCAGAAGACTCAGGTTTGGATCCCAGCACCTACCTGACGGCTAACAACCATCCATAACTCCAACTACAAGGGAAGAATGCCCTCCTCCGTCCTCTGGGGACACTGCGCAACGGGTGCACTTACATACATGCAGGCAATACACTCATACACATAAAAAACAATAAACATGCTGGGCGTGGTGGCGCACGCCTTTAATCCCAGCACTTGGGAGGCAGAGGCAGGTGGATCTCTGTGAGTTCAAGCCCAGCCTGGTCTACATAGTGAGTTCCAGGATAGCTGGGGCTACAGGGAGACCCTGTCTCAAAAAGACCCCCCCCCAAAAAAAAAACCTAAACAAAATATTAAAAACATTATGGCAAGGGCTGGAAAATTGGCTCAGGAGTTGAGTGTCTGCTGCTCTGGTAGAGGACCCAAGTTCAGTTCTCAGTGGTTCACAACTGCTTGGAATTCCAGCTTCAGGAGATCTGACACCCCTTCTCCTTGGACACCTGCTCATACCTCCTCCCACCCCCCAGTTTAATTAATTTAGTATCCTGGGCTTGGGGCATTGCTCACGCTAGAGGACCAGGCTAGACTGCACAGGCCCTGGGTTCCATCCGTCCATCCAACCATCAATAAATGGTTCCCCCCAGATGCAGATGCCAGTGAGGCTCTGCAGAGACCAGAAACTCAGATGGGAAGCCCCATTCTAACAGGGGAGGGATAGAACTGACAGGTAGGGTGCCCAGGGCTTCATCACATGGCTCTGCTCAGACACAGGCTCTGGGGAGGCCCTTACACCCACTCTACGGAGAGGCACAGGCTCAGATCAGCGAGGTTAGTGACCTGACCCCATGACTTTCCATTGAGAGGAAGCCGTGTGGACCTGAGTCCACCTCTTAACCTTGCTTCCAGCCAGATGAGGTGTGTATAGTCAGGGGGCACACAGGGGCAGGGTAAGAGAAGGGTCTGGGCTCTCAGAACTGCCAGTTGGGTTTATGGGATTCCAGCGGCCCATCCTGAGGCTCCTTTCTCCCTGTCTGCCTACTTTACCAGCTCAGCAACTCGCACCTACCCACAAAATGGGGTTCCCCAAGGAGGCTTAAGGTAATCCCCACCTTCAGGGAGATGTCATTCCCAGGATGACAACCTGAGCTGCCAGCCCAGCCTATTCCCAACCTCAGACCTCCACTGTCTAGATGGCCTACCTGTCCTGAGCCCAAAGGGCCAGCTCACTCTGTCCTCTTCCCTAAAAGGAGCCACAGTTCCTAAGCCCTGCACCTGAGATGACCATCTATGTCCTCCAGCTTCTGACTCCACACTGGGCCTCCCCGCCTCACCTCTCTAGGGCATCTCAGCAGGGGCAGAGCTAAAGGCTCCTAAAGCCAGGTGCCTGGGGCTGGAGTAAGTGTCCATCGGTTCTAGAAACATGGCTGCCAGCTCCCAGACAGGGACTACGTGGGCAGCTCCTGAGTTCATGCTTTGGGTAAGACACAATGTGGATCCTGAGCCTGGCTCCCTGCATTCCATTCCAGCTGAGACCTGGAGTAACACACCTGACTGCCCCCACCTGTGCAAGTGGCGGGATGCAAGAAGCTGCCATCCATGGGGCTGGCTGATGTCAGCACCCAACACTGCAGACCCTCTCTCCACAGCAGCTCTGACAATCAGGACTTGGCAGAAAAGGAGCCAGAGTAACTCTGAGACAGGGCCCCCCCTGACCTTCTGGGGCTCCTCCCACTCCTGTTCCAGGCAGCTGGGAAGCAGTTCAAGGTCAGGGCCTAGGCCACAGACCTGACTGTCCTCGGGGAAGGCCACTAGCTGACCCTTGCCCTCATTCCTGGTCTTAAGCTTGATGGGCAGAGACTTTCTAGATGGGGAAACAGGCACTTTATGAGCCAACCAGGGCTGCTTTGCTGGGGAAGGGCAGGCAGGGAGCTTTGATGGTTTGACCTGGGGAATGGGAGACCTTAGCATGGCCACCTGGCAGAGGAGAGTTTTCTCACAAGCATCCCAGGAGTGGCACACTTGAGGGGGTCAGGAGCTTGGGGGTGGGATGGGGCTTCCAGCTTGGGCAGACACCCACGAGAATGAGGCCATCAGGAGAGAGGGCAGAAGAAGGAGGGGTAGAGACTGACCTATGGGTTCCAGGAACTTCTGTGCTCCTTGTCTGAGGGCAGAACCTTCCCTGGGTCTCTATATCCTGGGCCTGCAGAGACCCCAGTAAGGCAGCCCTCCACCCCCAGCCCATGGCCCCAAGTGCTCTCTTCTACTCAGCCCTGGATAATCACTCAGGGCTGTAGTGATGCAGCCGTGACTGCACTTTGTCCTAGCCAAGCATCTATTGGGTGGAACCCAGGACCCACAGGGACTGGCAGTCTTGGTTTTCAGACTGAGTCTTTTTAGCTTAGACCTCTGACAGACACAGACTAGTGGCTGGGGCTCACAGCAAGGCTGGCCTCCTTCTCTACCACCTAGCATAGGCCCTGGGAGCCAGCATCACCCTGGCAAGTCCTGATCATTTATTTGAAGGTCATCAGAGGCATGAAGTTCTGCGGGACATTGCTAAGGGGAAGGGCCCCTTCCTCTCTTGACACAACAGTGGGATCTTAACCCCTCAGGACAATAGAGATCAGCTCTGGAAGCTTTTGGATAAACTGTTCTTTATCCAAAAGCTGAGTCCAGGGACCTCTCTGGGTACTATCCCTGTCAAATGCTGTAATTAGGGAAGCCACCTCCTGTCATCCAGCCCTGGCCTGCACACAGGGAAGGGTTCCATGTGCAGAGCCCTTGGGAGGGAGCCTCTCTCTCAGCCCCCAAGCCATGTCTGTACTGTCTGCCCCTCTAGACCTAATGCTGTTCCTTGCATCTGGGAACTCCAGTCCCAATGGCAAAGGCTTTCTCTGGAAGCAGGATGCAGAGGGGGCTGCCCTCTGCAGGAGCTCAGGGTCTGATCTCTAGCACTTTAACACCCAAAGACTTTGGCCACAGCCCTCAGTGTGTCTGTGAGCAGCTAGGAGCAGCATTGCTATAGTTGGGCTAGTCACAGAGTAATGGGAACTCTGGAATTGCTCTCCAGGGCTCAGTCTCCAGTGCTCAGCCCAGCTCAGGGAGGCCTGAGATGGGGATAGGTCCATCTATCTACTAAGCATGCCTCCACCTCCTAGACTTCCAGTCCCGGTCTCCGACCAGCCTCTACCCTCTGCTCTGGCAGGGCACGCACTTTCCCAGCAGTCACCCCCTCTGTGGCTTGGAGGATATCAAATGCTCACAGGGCCCCACAGATCCCACTATCCCTTCCTCAGTTCATTTGTCATGGTGAGGAATCATCACAGGGACCCTGCGACTGGGGTTGTGAGGGGCAGGGCTGGGGTTCCTTGGTCTCCAGGTCACTCCCAGCTACCCATCGGTGCTCCCTTCCTGCCAAAGGGAACTAAATACCTGCTGTTATTCAAGCCAGTGTCCTGAGGCCACAGGGCTTTTGTCTGTCTAGGCCCTGCCTGGGAGAGGGTTACAGTAAGCCTCCTCTAGAGTCAGTAAGGACTCTAGCTGAGACCTGGCAGGGTGGGGCTGGAGGTGGCACAGAAGGCCCATGCTGGTTTGGTCAGCCTGTCAGCCACTACCTCTGGTGCCGGTGCGCAGATTTGGCCCCTGGGCAGCAGTGGTAGGCCACCAGGGTAGGCCACACAAAAGCCCAAGGGCCATGGGACCAATCGCAGGATCTCCCAAGTCAGAGTCTGCTGCAAAGTCAGTGCCCAGTTCCACAGCTGCATCTGATGTGCCAGGGCACAGTTCCTTAGAACTAGACATGCCCACCTGACTCAGCAAGGGCAGCACCCCCTCCAAGGTACATACATGTGGGTGCTTCCTGAGCCCATCAGGCCCCTCCTGGTCCCAAGTGCTCTGGGGAGCCCCTCCCACTGTTCACTGACAGTCCCCAGGCTTTAATTTCAGAACAAGTCACAGGAAATGTGCCTATTTAGGCGCCTCTGCCTCAGGGTGGTGAGGTCTCCCTGCCCACCTGTTCCTGGGGTCAGCTCTCTGGGACACTGGATAGAGGAGATGATACCACAGTCCCCGAACAGGAGGCCTGGGACCCATGAAATAAGCCAGGTCCAGACACACCCCCACCCCGAAGACTGGCCAGGACAGAGATAGCGCAAAGTCAGAAAACTGTTGCTCATGGCCCCTGTAACCACCACGGGGGAGGTGGGGCTTCAGTGACCACAAAGTCCGCTGCACTTGGTCAAGGCTAAGGGCAGGACATTGCAAAACCCACCAGCTCAACAGTCCAAACAGGGCACAGAGAAATTCTGTAGCAAGTCTCCTGGGACTGCAGACAGGGAGAAAGGACTGGAGCCTCGCCCCTGCCTGACCACTAAACTTCCCAGACCCTTCCTTCCCTCCTTCAGTGGCAAGCCTAGCCCTGAAACGGCTCCTCCCCTCATCTCCCATCTCCAGAAGAGGAAGTTCAGGACAGAGGAACATGCGTCCGTACCTGGGCACAGGTGTCGCCTGACCTGCGGAGAGGTGGTAGCGGGGAGACCCGCAAGCCCCGCGGCACGCGCGCTGGCCTCGGTTTCCCGGGCAGGTGAAGCCGGATTGGGCCAATCCCAGCTTCGCCCGGCCCCCCTCCGTCCCTCCTTAAACCCTCGGCACGCGCCAACCTGCACCCCACGTAGGGCGTCCAGGGCGCAGCGGGGCCCAAGACTTGCAAGCCGTGCCGGTGCATGGGGATACGGGTTCCTGGGGACCCGGGCGGGGGCGGGAAACCTTGCTTGTCCCAGGCCCGGGGCCGGTGGTGGTGGTGCGGGCGGGGCAGGAAGGACGCGAGGACTGCAGAAAGTTAGGAAAGCGGAAGCGCACGGGGCCCCGTCCCTCCCGCGCCCCGGGGGCCACCGCCGCGCCCGGGCTCCTTGCCTCATGTTGTCCACGGTGCGGCCGCCGTGGCGCAGCAGGCAGACGATCGAGGCCACGGCGGAGAAGGACAAGCAGAGCACGCAGTACAGGCCGATCTTGGTGTAGAACCTGGCGGTGCGGCTCAGCTGCACGAGCAGCAGCAGGAGCAGCAGCGCCGCCGTCAGCCACCGCCACAGCTCCATGCCCGCCGCGCCCCAGCCTCGACGGCGCCGCCGCCCGCCGCCCGCGCCCCTTTTGAGCGGCGCTGGGCGCAGAGGGCGGG